GTATCTTCATCCACCAGTTCTTCGCTTCAGGTGCAATTACTGAAGCTAAAGGTTGTACCAGCAGAAGTGTTAGATGCACCAAATGCGTGGTACAGAGAAGATCGAAATGTGTTTTCCTACCTTCCAAGGAATCATGCCTGCTATAGTAGACTACTGACTATGTCCAAGAAAGCAGTATCTGTCACCTCTTTGGTCTTTGTGGAGGTTCACATTGAAGCTTCCAAGTGGGAGGTAAACATTTAACATGAGCTAAGAATCCACAGAAAATTGTGGTCGTCGTTTTTTTGACATGCATTAATATCACCAAATCATATATAAATAGTTGCATGTTCATGCTGATAAGAATTAAACGAAGAAGATAGAAAGATAGAAATTGTAAAAGAAACTATGAAATGTATAAGATGTAATTGGCTAATACATTTGATAGTGATCTCTTGATAGCTATTTATACACACTCAGCAGGGAGGTTATACACATTCAGCAAGAAGGATTTTTCTCAACTACTTAGAGATTTCCTCAACTGCCTTGAGGAAATCTTATCTACTTATCATGCCCCCGCAAGATTGAGCTTCCATCAAGGATGCCGATCTAGGTTTTGTAAGTGAGTCTACTAGTTGATCAACTGTATGTACGTGAGAAACACGGAGTTGATGTATGACAACTTGATCTCGCACGAAGTGGAAGTCGATGGCAATGTGTTTCATGCGGGAATGGAACACTGGATTGACACATAAGTAGGTAGCGCCAATATTGTCACAATATATTGTAGGAATAACCGTGGAGTTGCTATCTTTTATTTTTTAGAACTCCAACTGATTGGAGTGGCTCCAAGGAAGACAATGTATCCTGACATAGATGTTCTATCATCAAAGTTCCTTGCCCAATCAGCATCAGCAAAGGTATGGAGATGGAGTGAAGTATTTTTACGAAGAAAAATGCCATAATTAAGAGTCCTTTTAAGATACCGCAAAATTCGTTTGACCGCAGACCAATGCATAGTAGATGGTCGATGCATGAATTGTGATAATTTATTGACGGCAAATGAAATATTTGGACGCGTGAGAGCCAAGTACTGTAAGGAGCCAAGGACTTGTCGATATTGAGTCGAATCTGTAGCAGGACTTCCATCACATAATTTAAGTGATTCACTGGTAGAGAGAGTAGTTGTAACCTCTTTCGCATCCTGCATGTTTGTTTTTGATAATAAATCTTGAATATACTTTCTTTGTGATAGGAAGAGATCTGAAGATGTAAATGTTGCTTCCACTCCCAGAAAGTAGCTTAAAGTTCCTAGATCTTTGAGGGAGAAGCGATCGGCCAAGTGCTTTAGAAATGCTTGAGTCTTCAAAGGATCATTTCCTGTGACAATAATATCATCCACATATACTAAAAGATATATTATGCTTCCATTTTGCTGGCAAATGAATAACGATGTATCAGACTTGGAATTGATGAAGCCAATTGAGGTCAAAAACGAGCCAAGCTCGTTATACCAAGCCCTTGGAGCTTGACGAAGTCCATAAATAGCTTTTTGAAGTTTGCAGACATGCCTCGGATATTGAGGATGAACGAAGCCAGGAGGTTGCTGCATAAAGACATCTTCAGTAAGTGACCCCTGTAAAAAGGCATTGTTAACATCTAATTGTCGTATGTGCCAGCCCTTTGAGATGGCCAAACTCAAGATAAGACGGATTGTTGTGGGTTTAACAACGGGACTAAATGTCTCTGTGAAGTCGACACCAGGTCGTTGATGAAACCCTTTGGCGACTAGACGTGCTTTATATCTGGCAACGGATCCGTCTGGGTTCCGCTTAATTCGAAAGACCCATTTACACCCGATGATATTTTGTGTGTGATGAAAGGGTACTAAGGTCCATGTAGAGTTGTGGAGGAGAGCATCATATTCGTCACACATGGCTTTACGCCAATGAGAA